AGGTTAGACTTGGCTACGGCAAGAATGGGAACAAGTCAGAAGAGACAGATGTGTTTAATGGTCAGTGCATTTGTCCAAAGGAATCATTTTCACTGGCCAGGAGCCCAATTAAACCCGTAAAATGGAAATCCAGAAAATCAGATTAACGAGCCAGTCATTAGTGAGGAAAAGACCCAGCTAATTCAGTGTTTAGCATGACGGATGGGCCCAGAGCAAATAATTGGATGACATTCATCATATGTAAAATAAAAGGTGTCACTGAAAGGGAAAGTGGTAATAATCTCTGGGATTTACAATGCCAGCAGATTTGCTTGTGAGGAAGAGAAAAGTTCATCAAAATAGATTAATAGTCACTAAACTTCATTCTTTCCTTGTGTGGTTGCCAGAGAGTCATGCAAATAATAGTGGAGAGGCAGCAAATGCATCAGCTTGGTATCCTCCCAACACCCTGAGGATCTGGCTCCCAACGCAGGGAGTGCTGGAGATAAGTTCCTGTGACCACCTAGGGACTGGGTGGGAATGGAGAGCTCCTCTGTGAGTCCATGGTTTAGTCACTAAACAACAGAGGAAATCACACTCAAAGTGTTTCTGGTTGAGTGGATTAATCCCCGCAATTCATTACTCAGTTAGTCAGTGAGTATTGAGCCCCCCTGCTCTGTACCTGATATTTTGGGGATGCACTATTCCTAGTTAAGGGCTTGGACACAGGGGAGGGTCACAGATTGGCTGTAACAATGAAAAGCTGTGTGATGTCGAGCAGGTTAGTTGACCACTCTGAGCCTCAATTTCCTGACCTATAGAGGTACTATATATTACATTATATATAATTAGAATCAAAAAAGTGTGGTGTATAAACTGCTTATTGTCCCATTTTCTGTGTAATAAGCTTTCGTTGCATGGTAGTTATTATTAATCTTGTTCTTATTATACCTCACATCCTCTCTTCTATGAAGACATCATTTTTAAGATTTGCCATCAATGTCATAACAGATTTTCTGGAATATGAAGAAAGATAAACATGTATACACATGCCAATTACGGAGATTTTTATATGTTTTTAAAAAACATCTTCGAGTCAAGAAAATGTATTGTTGTTATAGTGAGATGAGTGAGGTGAATGGAGACCCTTCTTAGTCATAGGAGGAGGAGAAAAGGTCTAGAGCCAAACTTTGCAAGGTTCCAATTTGTCTTATCTTGGGCAAGTCACTCAGTACCTTATAGTCTTTGAAGGGTTGTCATGGCGATTAAACTGGATAATTTATATAATGGCTACATGAGTTCTGGAGCATGGTAGATGAACTCCATCAATGACCATTGTGTCATTACTTTTATTATTATGTATTCACCAGTCGCTTGCCACGAGACCAGCACTGCCTAGGAATCAGGGAGGTTGAAATGTTATAAGAAGACATGGAGGAAAGATTGAAGGAATACGTGTCCCACAAGAGTAAATGTTGAAAGGGCTGTAGGAATAGAGAGAACAGAGTTGAGAAGAGAGAGAAATCGTAATGCATCGGTGGCATCCAAAACCCTTCCACGAACCCATGGGTCTTACAGTGAAGTTAAACCATGAATTAGATGGTAGCAGGTACAGAGAAGGATACAGCCAGGACAAAGCAGAACTGTAGGAGCTGGCTTGGTATCCCTGGGAGATACTCTGATATCATAGGTACCGGAAGAACCTCTGGGCTCCTGGGGCTTCATCAGCCCCTTAGTTTGGTTCATCCCATCATGTATCTGAAGTGTAATCTCCATCCTGATTACTCAAACACAGAGTCCCTCAGGTTGTGTGTGTGAGCTTGTGAGAAAGAGGGTTTGTGCTTGTGCAGGGCTGTGTCAGGCATGGCTGGGCTGAGTTCCCGAGTTGGTGGGGTCCATCACCCTGTTGAGGAGAACACTCTGTTCTCCTTTGGCTCTTGGTGATTTGGAAACCGCAAGGGACCCAGTTTTGTTCTATGGTGCTGATCAGAAGCTTGGCGATGCTCTCACCTTATTCCCTATGGAGCCAACTGGATCTTCTCAGGAGAAGCTTCTTTTAATTGCTGTGCTCTGGCCAGCATTCAGTGACGGGACTAGCCTTCTCTGGTGCCGCTTTTCTTCCCCAAGGCAAGCTTGGTGACATTTAGGGTGTCCTGTAGAGAGCTGTTTTTTAAGCATATGATAAGTGACCAGAGCATATACTTTGGGGTTTAAAAACTTCATCACTGGGTATGAGATCTCCTTTGGGGGTGATGAAAATCATTTAGAATTGGGTAGAGGTTGTGTAACACTGCAAATGTGCTAAATGTCACTGAATTGTACGTCTTCAGATGGTTATTTTTATGTAATAGGAATTTCACCCCAATTAAAAAAAAAACGTTATCATCATTGTCAACACAAAATCAGGAAAATAGCTATATCTGAGAAGGAGGCCAGGGTCAGGACAGGTGTGGGGCATGGAAGCACTTTAGAAGTGTATGTCAATTGCCTTTAAAGTTCTAGTTCTGAGCTGCTCGGAGTGGGGTCCCCAGACCAGCAGCATCAACATTATCTGGAAACTCATTAGAAAAGACAATTCTTGGACCTCTCTCCAGATTGATCAACTCAAAGACTCTGTAGGTGGGGCCCAGAAGTCTGAGTTTTAAGCAGCTTTCCAAGTGATTCTCATGCAGCTCAAGTTTAAAAACTACTGTTCCAGTTCTTGGGTTAAGAGGCATACATGTGTTGGTTTTATAATTTATGATTAAAACACTAATTCAGAAAGATGATATGCATGCCTATGTTTATTGCAGCATTACTGACAAGAGCCAAATTATGGAAGCAGCCCAAGTGTCCATCAATAGATGAGTGAATAAAGAAGATGTGGTATATAGATATACAATGGAACATTACTCAGCCATAAAAAATAATGAGATCTAACCATTTGCAACAACATGGATGGGTCTAGAGAGTATTGTGCTCAGTGAAATAAGTCAGAGAAAAACAAATACCATATGATTTCATCCATATGTGGAATTTAAGAAACAAACAAATGAACAAAGAAGAAAAGACAAACCATAAAACAGACTCTTAACTACAAAGAACAAACAGATGGTTGCCAGAGGGGAGCTGAGTGGGGGGATGGGTGAAATAGGTGATGGGGATTAAGAGGGTACTTATGAGGAGCACTGAGTTATATACGGAATTGCTGAATCACTATATTGTATACCTGAAACTAACATAACACTGTATGTTAACTAGACTGGACTTAAAAAAATAAGAAAGAGAGAGGGAAAGGAAGGAAGGAAGGAAGGAAAGGAAAGGAAGGGAGGGAGAAAGAAAAACAAATAGGATCAAGCAAGGACTAGTGGTGATTGTGTATTTAGTACCAAAGATTATATTTTAATCTGATTCTATGCAGTTGAAATTTATTTTAAAAAGAAAAAGACTTCTTAGCAACTCATTGATCTTAATATGTGAATGCCCCACTTCTAAGCCAGTGCAGAACGATATAGATTCAGAACAGATGCCTTATCAAAAAAACAAAAACCAGGGGCACCTGGGGGGCTCAGTCTGGTAATTGTCTGCCTTCGGCTCAGGTCATGATCCCAGGGTCCTGGGATTGAGCTCAGTGTCAGGCTCCCTGCTCAGTGGGGAGTCTGCTTCTCCCTCTCCCTTTGCCCCTCCCCCTGCTTGTGTGCTCTCTCTTTCAAATAAATAAATAAAATCTTAAGAAAAACCAGAAAAACAAAAGTCCTGGAATACAAGAGATGAATGGCTCTAATTAGGAAATAGAGATGCGGGGATAGAGCTGAACACTAGGGACCAAACCAGTCTCTCCTCTTGATTCATAGCTTAAGTCTTTGCACCAAGTTTTTTTCCAAGGTTCTGCCTTCATGTGGACTCTAACATTTGCTCTGCCTGGCAGTCTGTGTGCTTCCAATCTGTGCAGAGCTAGGGGGAGCCATGGGAGATGTCATCTCTTGGAGTGAGGAGCAATGGGTGGTTTTCAATAGAGATGTGACACCTCGCCTGCTCCCCACAGCCGCTGTGGATGGGTGCCAGGTTTGGACTGGAGTGGGAGGACTGGCCCGTCTCCAGCAAGTGCTTGGTGAGAACAGAGAGGAGGCCTCCAGTAATTGCCTCCTCGGCACAGCGGCCGGGTTGCTATTGTCATCCTGCTATTTTCTCTGAACAGCCTCTGGTGTCTTCTCTGGTGAATATTAATGTCCCCCCGAGTTAGGACGATTGGGCTGAGAGCAGCCATCTGCAGAGCTGTGCCATGTTGGCAGGACTTTTCAACAAGCCCAGGCCAGAGGACCATTTCTTGGAGTGGTTTCCAGGTTCCTACAAGAATCCATCCTTCCCAAGTGAGATTACAGAGTTTGACTCCCCCAGCCATCAGATGGCAGAGCTGGGACTCTGACCCAGCATTTCTCACTTCCCGATCCAGAGTTCTTCCTCTGACCCTTGATTCCTTTAAATAACTTGCACATGGAAAGAACCAAAAAACACCCACTCAATGCATGGATTTGTAAATACGAAGGAAAAAAATTGTGCTCAGGTCAGAAATGAAATTAATTTCGAAGTAACAAGAGCTTTTGAGCAATAGTAGTTATTTAGATTCAGAAAAAAAAATCCATTTCACAATCATGTCATGATGACAGTGGATCAGAAACTTCTTTTAAGGCAGAATAAATCAGTCTTCGGTACATCCCACCCACATCAGTAGCTTCTGTTTGCAGTTGAAACTATTTATTTAGTGTGTACATATGCAGAGCACAGTGACCAAATATAGAGTCTCTGCTCTCACCGAAAATGCCAACCACTGGGAAAGACTGTTGTCATTGTTCATTTGTTGTCTAAGTGTCATGACATGGGAGCAACTCGGTGCTGTGGGACTGGAGGCTCAGTGCCAGCAAGGGATACTCTCTGAAAGGTTATCACAAACCTATTGTGGCTGTTGATGGAGAGGCTAATACTTTCCAACTTGTCCATGATCCTTGGTGCCATCTGACTTCTCTATTTCTCTTATGATCCAGGTGACAACTGGTGGAAGAGCCAGCTACTATGTGTCCTATCGGAGAGAGGCCTTCACCCAGATAAAGCTGCCCAAGTACTCCCTGCCCAAGGTACGTCCAACCTGCTGCCCTGAGTCCTGTCCGACAAAGCAGCAGGGAGAGGCCACCACGTTGGGCAGCAGGGAGGTTTGACTTCTGCCTGGGAGACAAGCTGGCATTGAACCTGACTTGCCACTGTGGGGCTCTGGCCTCTGCTGATGGCCCTGAACCTGGGTTCTCTATTCCTCGCTCAGCAGGGTATGCAGGCAAGAGCTTTGATTCCCTGTGTCTCATACGTCCTGTATCACCTGGGGTCACTTCCCAGGGAAAGGAGAGCTAGCACTCAATCCCTTCTGTGAGTTCCTCCCTCTTGCAAAGGCCTTACTGCCAAATAGAGGGACAGGCTCAGAAGGGCCCAGAGGGAGCCCAGACACTTTATGTACGTGTGCATAAAGGTGCACAGGTGAGTCTCGTGGAGTTCATGCTTCTCTCCACATTTTAATGCCAAATGTAAATGCACTGCCTATGTTTCTGCCCCCTTCTGCCACTATGAGTAATTAAAAAGGAATACTTTACTATAATGTTAATATCAAATGATGGCATTTTAACTCCTCTATTGGAAAATCATAAAACTTACCCTGTGGACTCCATCCCTTGTGAACAATGGCTTCTTGGAGGAGATGGATCTTAGAATCTCAGTCTGAACATGGACGGGATATAATTGCATCGCCTAATGAGGCTGCAGAAAAAAGCCAAGTCTCTGGTTGGGCACATATCAAATGTAATGTTGCAAAGATTTGGGTCTGCAAGCTGGTGCTGGGAAACATCATGAAAGGCTAAATGAGTACCAAGGTGGGAGGGATTATGGGACAAGAAGGTGGGTAACTGTCTACCCCTGGTTGTTTCATTCATTCATTCATTCATTCATTCATTCATATATGCATGCATGAATCCATTCATTTGTTTGATCCTTCTTTTAGTCATCCATTGAACTGTTCTTTCTCCCATTTAGGCTTTAATTCTGTGCCAGGCACTAAATTAAGCTCTATGGAGAGAGTAGAAAAGAAGCCACAAATGGTCTCTGCCTTCGTGGAGCTTATATTCTGGTTGAGAAGAGAGACATTGAACAAGCAATTGTAGGTATAGGGAGTGTTATAGGGATAGAAGTTCAAGGACCATTGTGACATAATAGGTGGAGCTTACCTATACTGAGGACAAGTTTCCTAAGAAAGGTTTAAGATGATATAAGAGGATTAAGGAGTTAACCCTGCAAACAAGGGTTGGAAAACCAATAGAAAAGACACAAACAGGCCCTATTTTAAGAGAGAGAACATGGTTCATTCAACAAACTGAAACATCATCTCAAGAGACTGGGTTGCAGAGAGAGAGAGAGAGGAGGCTGATGGGATGAGCAGGGACTGTATTAAGTAGCCTTGGGGGCCATGGGATCAATTTCTCATTTTCTCTACCCTCTCTGTGACTGGTTGGTATGGGACCATTATATAGCATTGTGATTGCAGGATGTACCCATCAGATATTCTAAACCCAAGCAGGAAAGGGGTATCCCTGCTTGGAGAAGATGAGGAAAGGGAAGTTCGTAATCATGTTCTTTCTGAAGGAGAAAGACCCCTTGCAGTAACTTGATGATTTCCATGTATTGGCTCAGGAGAAGCATTTCAGGAACTTTCCAAACCATATCCCCCGTGTAAGGCCTGTTCTGTCTCTGCATTGTGTGCATATCTTACATATTTTTAACCTTCCGAGGAAAACAGTTTGCTCCCCTGGGCAGTGTGGCTGCAGGTGGGGACAAATGAAGCCTGGGATTGATCACAACCCTGGAACACTCCATTAATGATCAGCAACCCCATGGCAATTTATCGTGGTAGAGTACCATCCACGTGGCCCCTTTAGAACTCCATCCAGAGCACCTTCATTAATATGAGGGCTGCTGTGAAAATAGCTGGATGGTTATCGATCCCCTTTATTAGCCAGCATTGGCTCAGATTTTCCTAGCCTAGGCCGAGGAGGTGAGGACAGAGGGGTGGAAGTGTCTAAAAATGGAAATGGCTTTTGAGTAAGTTGTTGCTGTTCCAGGACTGTGGCTGCTGTTGGGCATCTTGCTTAAAAACAAGAACAAGGAGAAGCTCCCTGTCATCACTGCCCTCACACCTCTCCTCCCAGCCTGTCTGTTCAGAACATGCTCCCCTGGGGCACTCCATGGCTTGGAGTGTTTTGCAGAGAATGAAATGAACACCATTAATAATGAGTGGCATTATTAGGAGCAGCAACCTTGTGCTGAGTCCTCCATAACCAGTCCCTGGGCATAGGTGCGGGGGAGGGAGGGTGGGACATGGAAGGCACACACCAGCAGGGGGCGAGGAGGCAGATGACAGGGAGCCATGGTAGCCTGGCCTAAAGGCAATGGAGCTTCTGAGCAAGAAGCCCTGAGCTTTCTTTCCTGCTCTGCCACTTGCTTATCCAGGAGCCCAGGTCTTCTTATCTGTGAAATGGGCATCATAGTACCATTGAACTTTACTGAGCCCAGTGCTTCTGCAGACCCGCGAGGTTTAAGAAATACCCAACTCTTTTGTGTTCCTGGAAGTAGCTCACTGCAAAAAACCACTCTTCCCCATGCACCTCGCTAAGATGCAGATACCTGCGTATTTACCTTTGACGAGACCAAATCCTCACTCTTTATTTATAAATGGTTAACTGAACTCTTTGTCCCCACTGGGGGACAATCTGGACAAAATCCTGGCTAATTTGACTGGACCAGACTTAGTCTGGCTTTTCACCTTCCCTGCCTAGTGCCTGAACTTTGACCCCCTCCTGGGCGCTTAAGTAGGCACTAGAACTCAGAACAACCCCTGTTAACCACCCTTCTGAAAGTCACCTGACTGTAAGGAGGACGGTTTCCTGTTCAATGGCCCCCTCTCGCGCCAACTGCTCACCCTGCTCCCCACACCCAGTTCTCTCTAGCCTTGTTTTACTTTCTCTACATAAAAATAATTCTTTCCTGCCTTCACTCTGAGGGGCTTGCAGATAGGATAGCCAGAGTGTTCTCCCTATTGCAATAGTCTTGCAAATAAAGGCTCTCCCTACCTAAGTCTGGGTTTGCTTTTAGTTGACAGTAGAATGTGTTTAATCCCACTTTGAATAATAAAAGGGAGGAGAGGGAAATATGCTTGAGAAAATTTATTATAATGATAATGACAGTGATATTAACCTTTTCCTTAATTTCCTTGGGACAGTTTTCCTTAATTTTTACATTTCCCCAAATACTGATTTATCCTTTTTTGCTGTGTTGCAGCCACACTCTTAAAATGTTATCTGTAATTCTGATTTCTTTTGTCGCTTCCTATCCTCTCTTCAACCCACTGTCAGCTGCCTTCTGCTTTCCCACACCCCTCTCTCCACTGTTCCACCAAAAATCCTCTAGCCATTGTTACCAGGGAGCACCTCCATGCCAAATCCAATAGGCATTTCTACAACTTTATCTTGTTTTTTTTTTTTTTGTTTTGTTTTGTTTTTTAACCTTTCTGGAGCTTTTGACACTGTTGGAAAAGAATCCATACCTGATACTCTTCCCTGTGGAGTATTTTATTCTGATTCACTTTTCTGGACCTCCTTCCCCTGCCACCCTTAAATGTTGACGATCCTAAGTTCTCCTGGCATTCTTCATGGTTCCTAGGTGACCTTATTCCTTCTCTTCATATGGGTGACATCTATATCCATAGTCCCATCCCATACTCATTGAACCCTGGACTGCTTTTTTGAAGTACCTCCATTTTAAAACTCTAGAACTGAGCTCAGCCTCTCTACCTTATATTATATCCCTAAAATTTCATCCTTCTCCTGTGTTTACTTATTCCATCTATTCATTCATACAAAAACTTTTATTGGATAACTACCATGTGCCATCAATACTTAGTAAGTGCTAGAAATGAAGTGATACATAAGAAAGACACAGTGTCTGCCCTCTGGGAGCTTATGGGCTAATGAGAGAGACTGGCGTAGAATAAATAATTACACACATATTTAATTATGAGTATTTGATTATGATTGAGCATGCTAATAAGCAGAGGATTTTGTAAGTCAGGTATCTGACATATTAAAGATATGCCCTTTTCCTTTATCCCCTATGGGTTCTGCCTCCCTGATATCTCACGAGTCCATTTCATGGGGTTCTCACGGAAAACCTGCTTCATTAGTTTAGGCCCTCACTGAGATTGTTACAGCCGCCTCGTAAGCCTTCCCCCTGCCCCACCGAAATCCACCTTTCACACTGCCTCTGTGACAAATGTGATCACACAATGAAGCTGGTCTTCCCCAACCAAATCTCTGCATTGGTCAGTTCTAATTCTTTTTCCTGCTTAAAATCTTGTGCTAGTTTTGCATTTCCTTCTGGGTAAAACTTAGGTGTGCCATGCAGAGCCCCATAAGTTTGGCCACTGTCCGTCCTCACCTTCGTCAGGGAAAAACTGCTTTCAAGCCACTCAGGTTCCACACATTTCCATGGATTGCCCCCCCCACCCCCATCTATAAGCCTTTGTATTCCTACCAGTACCTGTACCGAGGACCTTCGTCAGCTTCAGAGAAGGCAAAGAGTGCATGACATTCCCACCACCATTGGGCATCTGCTTGAGGTCAGGTTCTACATCTTGGTCCTCTCTGCATTTTTGTTACAACGTCTGGTGCATGGCAGATGCGGAATAGCATATGTGTTTTTATAATGAATGCAGTTACATTCAGCCCAGATTACACGAACATGTTTCAATCACGGGGAAGTGTTTTCACCATTGTTTACCTACCAAGTCTCATGTTTAGGTTTGCGAAAGGCAGCTATGATTCCTCCAAATTAATGGGAGGGCATAGGGGGAGTGTTATTTATAATTGTTCTCCAAATAAAAACATGAATGTGGTTATGTCTGATGCTGTCCAAGTTCCAGTTTAGTAAAGTCCCAATCAGAATTTACTTACTGCTTTTCCCCCACTTTGGTGTCTCTCTTCATCACCAGTCAGATCTCACCCTGCATGTTCTCAGGAGTAGGAAGAATGTCTTTGAGTTTTTTTGGAAGGAGGTGGCACATGCTTTGGGGTTAGATTGAGATCACAGGATTCAAGAAATACACTTAATTATCATTCAGATCCCTATTTGACCAGTGTTACTGAAAATGCTTTTATTTCTTCTTGAACACTTAGTATTCTGGTTATTATTTGTTGATCCCTATTCAACTAGAAGATCTATTTGGAGAGAGGACACGTAGTTCAGAGCTTTTTCAAAGAGTGATGACCCAGACTGCATGCACCTGACTTGTCTGGAAGGCTGGTTCAGATCGTAGGATTTAAGCCTTCACAACCAGACACACTGACTCAGACCTCAGGCAGTGGGACATGGGAGTCTGTGTGCTCTTAAGATCTCCAGGTCATTTTGATGCATATTGAGTTATACTCCGACTGATAAAAGAGTTTAGCTTCTTGATTCAGATAGTCTTGGGTTTAAATATTAGTAATACCATTTATTAGCTAAGTGACTTAGGGAAATTAAGAACTTTTCAAGCCGACTTCGCAGAATCCTGGCTGCTAGAGAGCACCCTGTCCCCCAGAGCCTGCAATACCTGCACACCAGTCAATACAGCCCACACTCATGGCTAAGCTGGCTACGTTTCATCCTGACCATATGCCCCCGTGTTTTAAGTTGTTTTTTCCACTTCTTTTACATTAGTTTAGTCTAAAATAACTCAGCTCATTCATTTTTATAACCAAAACATCTGGGAAAAGCCCAGCATTTCTATTGCATTTTTAACAGGGTAAGTGAATTTAATCTGTATTTCCTGCAGCTGCTATTTCCCCTCCTATTGGGTTCTCGGGCTTTCATTCCACACCAACACAACACAATTTCATCACAGGGTTTTTAAGAGGAAGCCGTATTTCCATTTTCAAGCAGCTCAGTGGGATCCTGTGTAAGCACAAATGAGCTAGTGAGGTCTTAGTCAAGGTGACCTAGGGAGTTCAAGGCCAGATGCTGAGATCTGACAGATTCTCCAATAAAAAGATCCAGATCGCTTCTCACTTTTCCCACCTCCTCGTTGTCCAAATTGAATGAGCTTGCTCCTTTTCAAAAATGTCTTGGAGAAGCTCTCCATAGTTGTGGTATTATAAACGTTGCTACCTCCTTTTATTGCTGAAATCATTTCTGGAAAAGGTTGGTCAAACAAGGTAAAAGCTAGATCCAGCCTTGTGATTTACTTACTCACTGTCAGCTCCAATTGCCCGTGCCCCTACTATGAATGCTTGCCACCACGGTGACCAGGGTCCTCTCCTGCCTTCTCAGGATGCCATTACTCTTTGGCATATATATCTGTGTAGTTATGAATTTTTCAACTGCTTCCATTATGTCCAGTGTTTATCTGTGTCAACATTTCCTCCTGACAGCATGAATTCCTTAGGGAAGGACTTGAGTTTGTGATCCTCTACAAGTATGGCGCCTAGCCACATATGAAAACTGGCTTTTATAAACTCTTTTGAATTGTGAACTGATTAGATTTGATTTTAGAAATGTTCTAGTCCAGGTATACAAACTAAACTAAAGTGACTTCAGGGACCAGGAAGTTAACATGAATATCTAAGAGGCAGGTTATAAGAACATTTGGGTACTTAAGGCTGAGTCTTCCTGAGTGCTGACTTCACCTAAAAGACTACACCATCAGGTATTCAGTAGAGGCTGTGGTCAGACCAAACATTTATGATTCACATTCATCACATGGGTCATAGGATTGCAACTTCTGATCCGGAGGCTATATATCCAAATGGTTAGAAGCTAACAATTAGGTTAGAGCCCTACGACAGAGGTTCAACACTTGGTTCTGCCACTAACTGGCTATGTAATATGAAGCAAGTTGGCAAACCTCTGCGTACCTTAGTTTGTTCCTCAGTAAAATGGAAATAATACTACCTCTGTTGTAGAATTATTTGGATTTTTACTGAACTAATACATTTAGATGCCTTAGAATAGTGCTCAGATGTTAACTATTTTTAGCAGTAGCCCAACCTCTTCAGTATTTTGGTGAGAAAATTGAAGCTCAGGGACACAGACACATCCCACATCATGTAGCTAACTTCTAGTAGAGTTCCTACTAGGACCCAGAACACTAAATTCCAGGCTGAGTATCCTTTCTGCTATTATTAGTGATTTTCAAATATTATTTTATTAGCAGCAGAACCTCCCTCACCTTTTACTCCCCAAATATCACGCAGAACTCCAGGATAAAACAGATTCAAGTGGTGCTGCTCTGGTTGAAAGACGGTTGGAAGCCCAGAGCCCCGCCCACTGGCTCTGCCTCCCTGCCACGCTTCTTGAAATCCCCATGACTCTGAAGATCCCGAAGAGAAGTTTCACAACCACTACACTAAAAAGTTTGGAAAAGTAAAGGAATATCTAAAGAAGGGATAAGCCCTGTCTTTGCATGTGTGAGTTTCCTCTGGCAAGGCTATATGTCTCCGTTAGCGCTAACACTAACTTTCAGATATAAAAATAAAAAATGAAAGTGGATGAATCCCTTGAAGCCATGGAAAATGATACCCACCAAAGCCCCTTACACCCATCTTGTTGTCATTTAGCAAGGAACAGAAATCACGAAGCTCTTAATTTATAGCCTTGGTCCGACACAGAATTGTTTAACATCGCCTATAACTCAGGCTTTTTCTCCACCATTCATAAGTCATGGTAATTACTCTGGGTCCCCATGGGCAGAGGGATATGGAGATCTGCTGCCTTACAGGTGTTCTGTCTTCTTCCAGGACATGCACATCATCAGTACCGATGAGAACCAAGTGTTTGCAGCCGTGCAAGAATGGAACCAGAACGACACGTACAACCTCTACATCTCAGACACGCGTGGCATCTACTTCACCCTGGCCATGGAGAACATTAAGAGTAGCCGAGGTCTAATGGGAAACATTATTATTGAATTGTATGAGGTATGTAGCCAAGATGATCCTGCACCTGGGTCTGCCTCTCTTTTGGAGGAGTTTTAATGGGATAAACACGAGCGTTGCAGTCAGCCAGTCCTGGGTTCAGATGGCAGCTGTACCCTTTAGCAATTGTGTGACTTGGGGCAGGTAACTTAGCTTCCCTGTGCCTCCATCTCGTCACCTGTGAAACAGGGATAAAATATTTGCCTAATGAGATGGTTGTGAGAATGAGAAAGCATCTAGAGTGGTGGTTGACTCAGCAAACTTGAATAGATGGTGGCTGAAGTCAATGTTCTTTTGTGGATGAGCACGATTATGAGCCAGACGCCCAGGTATTTGACCTACGTGGGCTCGCTTAAGTCCCTTTTTCAACTCTATGGACTCTGAGTGGAGGCACGTATCTATTAGTATATCTTAAATTATTTGGAAAACAACATCTTATGAACAAGTTATACAGGAAAAGAAAAGTGAGTATCAGTGCTGGGGATGAGGGATTCCCTAAAATGCCACCAGATGCCATCATCGGAGTATGGTGAAGAACTGACCTTGACTTACTTTGAGTTGTTGTTTAATATGATCACCTTACTGAGTTTTCAGTTATATTGAGGTTTTGTTTTTAAATGTGATCACCAGTTAAAGAATTAATTTATCTAGGAAACCAAGTGACTCCACAGAGGAACTAGAGAAAAACGAGTTGTTTCAGTGACCTTAAGCCTGGGTCACTTTTTATGTCTCTAATGGCAGTGTATGACCTTTGATGGTCCTGGCCACAGTGCTCATCTTGTTGGTATGATGGATTGATTTGAGTAAAGGGGTGTATTTCATTATCCAGCATTCACTAGTGACTGGTGGTCAAACCTACACCTGCTACACTGGTGGAGGTCATTCATTCATGGAGGGAGGAGTTGTCTGTCATGAGCGGTAGCTTAAGATGGTGTGGGTGAACTGCTCCCTTATGAGTTTTCATCTTTGAGGCATGGGAGCAGCTTTCAGAATAGAGAGATCAGTGCAGGGGCTCCTGCTTTATTGTGGTGTCTTCTGAGCAGTGCCTGGTGAAGTTCTAGCATCCCTACACTGGTATCGAAGTTACTGAGAGTGGTAAAAGATTCTAGTTATTAGGTAAGAGGACCACACAAAGTTCTGGGGGTGAATAGAAGTACAATAAAAAAGAGAGAGAGAGAGAGAAGTGAATGGCACTGGGTGTAAAACAGAATCAGTAGAAATACCGTGATTTCCTAGGCATTGTTGACAAGTGCTGATTCCCTTAACGGCAAGGTCCCCATTTGGGAAATGGCCCAGATTTTTTCTTAGAATTACAAAAACTGGTAAAGATGACTAAGGTGTGTAAAGGGCTTTGGGAAGCTTACCTCTACATGCCTCTAATCATAGCTGGAGGCAGAAATACCCTTTGTTATTGGGCAGTAAGTCATCTCTGGTAGGAAGGTTTAGATGAAATGTTCCTAGGACTGAGGCCATTGCAACCAGGTTCCTGTTCACATAAGTGAGGCTATAGAGATGAGATGATTATTCATACTCCTGTAGTCAGACCTCAGTAGGACAGGGTAGATATTGCTGCAGATGACCTTCCAATTGAAAAATCCCTGTGTCGGGCGCCTGGGTGGCTCAGATGGTTAAGCGTCTGCCTTCGGCTCAGGTCATGATCCCAGGGTCCTGGGATCGAGTCCCGCATCGGGCTCCCTGCTCCTTGGGAGCCTGCTTCTCCCTCTGCTTCTCTCTCTCTCTCTCTCCCTCTCTCTCTCTCCGTCTCTCGTGAATAAATAAATAAAATCTTTAAAAAAAAACAAAAGAAAAGAAAAATCCCTGTGTCTCTGACCCTATCGATAAGGCAGGTGAGTTTGGCACTGTGCTGTTCTTTTTGTAATAAAAAGCACCTTGGTCATTGTGAATAGTGAGACACTCTGATCGGAAGTGGAACATGGATCAAAATGAAGAATATGCCTAGATATATGTATTTTTTTGGTCTTGCTGAAGTCAGCCATGCCTTTTTGGTCTTTTGGGGGGAAAATGCATGGCGTCATTCCATCTATAAAGAAGGAAGACATACCAGGCCAGGCAACTTCTCTAAAACCAGTTGTGTTGAGTTTGTTCTCCATTTAATTTTATCCGGGTTCATTGGGACCCTGCTTTGTGTTAAAGCCCACGAGTAAGGCAGGAGAGATACCGATTCTTACCCTCTGGAAGCTTGCAACCTAGTTTGTTGGGCTTTGAAGAAGTCTGTGAACAAAGTTCCTTTTTTTACCTGCCCAGACTGTAGTCAGTTGAGACAGAGACAAAGGGTGAGACAAGTGGAGATCAAATACCAGCTTTATTGCTTTTAAAAGTTATGTAGGAGCAAGTGGGCTTGCTAATACTGCCTGCCAGACCTGGATGCACCCATCTAGTCACATGCACAAATAGTAAATCAGAAGCTCTTTGGTGGAAGCCTCTTCCTGGAACACCACAGCAGTGAGGTACAGAGAATGTGATCTTTGCAGGCAAATCCCCAAAATAGTGGACCTGGGGATGAGTCGTATATGCCCAGTTCTTTTTTTGCAATGTTACCAATCTGATTACCATCTTTTTGCCCTGCACAGGAAGAAGTGGAAGACATTCCATATTTTAAGACCTGCATGAGTCAAGAACTAGATGGATGGTGTAAATTTGTAAGACCATGAGCTAGCCAATCTAATTGCATCGAATAGATGCTCACCAGGTACAAGAATGAGTGCCAGATAGGTGGTTGGAGTTTAGATTCTAGAAGGCATTTAATACCAAGAGAATAAATTGTATCCAGACACTATCTAGACCATGACCGTATTGAAGGCTTTTAGAGGGTGTTGCTGTTTTGTACCTGGAGATGCATTCTGTGATTTGGAGATAAAGCTGAATTTAATTGGTCTCTAGGGGTCATTAGTTTTTAACCTCCTTCACTGGAGATTCTTATAGAAACTGAGATTGTGTACCATATGGCCAGTTAGCAAAGAGACTATAATTTTTCTGGACTCTGAATGCCCTTGAGTAATGCATCTGGGAAAACTAGGAAGCTTTCACATTCAATTCAACTAAATTAATGCACTTTCATAGAGTATATTTTGTTTGATGAGATGAAGGTGGTGCATGAGACTCACAATCTACTGGAAAGATACATGACCCTATTATGGTAGTTAGTGATCACAAACTAACTTGTATTAAAGCTCTGATTTTCCATGTTGTAGAATCACTAAAGAGGAAGGTTAAATCTAACTTGAGGAATTTGGGGGGACTTGGAGATGAATTGGCTTAAAGGATGAATTACTGGAGCTTGGGAGAAAGGCATGTCTGGTGGAATACCAGCATGAGATAAGAACCAGAGTCTGATGAGTAGATGCCCATTTTCATGGAATGTTGAGTGACTTTGGGGAACAGTGGGGATAAATATTGCAAAGATACTAGTAAAGAGCTAAATTGAAGAGTTGGGCATTTATTTGATGGGCAGATTTTTCTCTCTGTTTTTCCCCTACATCTACATACCTAAAAATGATATTTGGATGTATGATGCAGTCTCCTATGCCAAGTTAATGTATAACTTTATATTATGATGTGTTAGGATATTACACCTATTTAACCTTGTCTGAAATGTTAGAGATGCCTTTAAGGAACACAGATGTGGATTGGCTCGGGATGAGCACAGCCACTTAAATCTATTTACTAGTGTATCACTCCATCTTGCACGTGGCCCTCTCAAGCTTCTTCTTGACCATGGGAAGGGGACAAAGAAAATGAGAACTTACTTGAGAATTCACCCTGCAGGTCTTGGCACGAAAAGACCTTGGAAGCCAGTGGGTGGGAATCCACCCCCTCTGAACTTCCTAAAACTGAATAAACCAGAGACATTGTTTATTTCTTGGTCTGTTGGAGCAGTCTCCTTCTGTAGAGAGTCTCTTCTCATTCTTCCTTTAATCCCTGCCTCCAAGTACAATATTGTCATGGCTGTAATTACATAATCAGGTGAGAAAATAATTCTTAAAGGCCAAATAATAATTTCTTTTTTAAGGTGTCAGAGCCTGTTCCATCAAAACAAGTCTGATGATGACAATGAATACAATCTGTTATGTGTGTTCATCATTATTCTGTGATACTCTTTTCACGTAGAGCTTTGTTGTGGTTTCTTCACATCACTAACTCCAAACTACATTTCTTCTTAGTTGCTTTCCACTGATAAATCAAGAAACAAATATTCTTTCCAACACCCTCAAAATTATATTATGGAAACATTGCTCTGAGCTGCAGGTTGGATGCATTTTCTTCAATATTTTCCTGGATGTAAAGCATCCAACTCGTACCTCATTATAATAATAACAACAGCATACCAGGTAATGCCTAAGACCGGTATTGTTGAATAAAAATATATGTCGGCTACAGATGCACTTCTAAATGTTCTACCACCCACATTTTTTAAAGTAAAACAAACAGGTGAAGTTAATTATAATAATATATTTTATTTAACCAAAATACCTAAAATATTATCATTTTAGTATGTGCACCATTTGAAAGATTACTAATGAGATATTTTATATTTTTCCATACTAAATCTCCAAAATTCTGGGTGTATTTTACACTTCCCCCATATCTCAATTCATATGCTAAATTTTCATCAGAGATACTTGATCAGTATTTATATTTCATAAAATGTGCAGTCGAAAAAGTAGATTCACATACCCAAGTTATTCTAAACACACTTAAAAGTTTGCCAATAACAGAATTGGGTGTTGGTTTTTAAGTTGAAGTTCAAATTATTTCAAATAAAATACAGTTAAACTTCAACTCCTTAGTCCTACTGGCCACATTTCAAGTGCTCAGTAGCCATATGTGGCTAGTGGCCATAGTATTGGTTTGCATAACCATATATATAATTTATCTATCTATCTATCTATCTGTCTATCTATCTATCTATCTATCTATCATTGCCATATCTCTTTGTGGTAGGTATCATCCCCCCTGGCGCCTATGAGAGTACAGAGGTGCAGAGAATTTAGTAACTTGGCTCAGATCACACAGATAGTAAAATGGTAGAGCTATGTTTGAACCAGTCCATGTATATTTGAATAAAAAGGCCAGGCTCTTCCCACTATGCATTTTTTTCACATTTATTTATTTTTTTTATTGAGGTCTAATTTATGTATAGTAAAACTTACCCATTTTGGCATGCAGTTCTGTGAGTTTTGATAGGGGTATGCAGTTGTGTAACTACCACCATAATCAAGATAGAGAACTGTCACCCCAAAATACTTCCTTGATGGCCTTTTTGTAGCCAACCATTCTCCCACCCCAAATCACTGGCAGACCAGTCTGATTTCTTTCTCTCTCATGTTTTGCCTTTTATGGATTTTCATGTGATTGGAATTATACAGTAGATAGTCTTTTGAGTTTGGCTTCTTTTACTTAGAATCATTCATTTGAGAATCACCCTTGTTGAATATCAGTAGATGTTCCTTTTTTTTTTTTTAATTTCTGAGTACTATTCCATTATGTGGATGTGCCCTGGTTTGTCTATTCATTCACCAGTTGAAAGACATTAAAGTTGTTTCCAGTTCTGTGTGGTAATGAATAAAACTTCTATGAACATTCATGTAAACATAAGTTTTTCTTTCTCATGGGTAAATACCTAGGAGTAGGATTGCTGGGTTGAATGTGATAGAATATGATTATAAAAAGCCACCAAGCTGTTTCTAAAGTGGGTATTCTCATCTTGCATCCCCACCTGAGATGTAAGAGTTCTGGTTGCTTCACATCTTCACTGGCGCTTGGCATTATCAGGTGTGTGTGTGTGTGTGTGTGGCCACTGTGAAAGGAGCCTAGTGGTACCTTAGTGTGAGTTTAATTTGAATTTCCTAATGACTATGTGGAACTCACTAGAATGGATAAAATGAGACTCTCTGAGTCATCTTAAGTGTTCTGCTTTCTTTGCCCATCTTATTGATGTTCCCTTGCTTTCCCTGTCCCTTGTGCCTGCTCCCCACCCTTGCTTTATCATGAACTTGAGTGACCCATCTTTGGCCAGATGGACAGCTGCTTATAGACTCCACAGGCACATCTTTCCCCGCCTTACCTTCATCAGCCCCTCACCACCAGTTCCACCCTAGGGACAGCCCAAGGCAGACCATGGTAATTGCTTTTCTCAGCAGAGCCCTGGTTTCCTTGTCCTAAGGGCCCAGAGAGGTGAGCAACAGATGCCCATACCACCTGGACTCAGTGCTCTGCCAAGAGGCTGCTGTCAGTTCCCCTTCATACCTCAAATTGATTTCCAGAAGGAAAATGGGCCACACAGGCCTGTACTTGTACTACCATCTTCTGTGGGCACCATCCCAAGCTGGTGCCCTTCTCTTTGAACTCTGGGGCCGGCAGCTGCAAGCCATGCTTCTGATTTTAAACAACAGTGGGAGGAAACATGGTCAGAGTTTATCAGATGCCAATTACCTCCTTGGGTCGAAGAGTTAAAATGGGTGTCTCATTCTCTCATTCCTTTATATCGTATGTAGTGAGGCTCAGTAGTGTTTCATGATACTTTTGCATCAGAGACATACATGTGCCTACATATGCACACATGCATGTGTACGTGGGTATGAGTCCTAGGCTGTAGCATACATGCATTTTGTACTGGGGTTGCAGTCAAGAAGTTTGAAAGCTGTTGGCCTAGGGCACACAGAAGCAAAGTGCCCTCTAAACTTATAGCCTATTTATACACAATTTAGATCCAAGAAGCAATTCAGTAATAATGTAAGGGTTTTGAACAATCCAAATAAAAATCAGAAGTGTTCTGGTTCTTTTGGACTGGAGGGAGATGGCTCATATTCGACTATAGGAGAAAGTCCTTCAGAGCTGCAGATGGCTTCCCTGGAAATCTCTCCTTCCTGTGTCTTTTCAGACCCCATTCTCCAGATTCTGCTCTTAGAATATGTAGGGAATACAAAAAATGCCCATCTGAGTGGTGTGGTGCTCAGTGAGAAAATGTGGTAGTGACCATTCCGTTTGCCAAAGACACTCATCCAGAAGAACCCAAGAGGCAACTGAATGGCTAGTAATTCATGCTGTGATGCATCCAGCTAGGAGGCAGTGGATGGGGGTGACAAGAGCCCCACGGGAACAGGCTCCAAAATCTAAGTCGGACTTGTAAATTTCTCCAGGGAGGTAGACACCAAGGCCCTGGGCACATGTTGGAGGGGACCAGCTGGCTTATAGGAGAGAGTTCTCTAGAATCATTATCTGGTGGTCCAACAGAAAAAGTACCAGCTCCATGGCTGAAGAAAATACCAAAAGGCCTCCATCATACAGATGGTTCTATCCATTCTCTGTGAGGAATAATTGGTAGTCAGGTTTAAGAGAAACACTTTTGCAGTTGGTTTTTAATAAAGACCGAGGTGATAGGAGAGCCTCAGAGCCTCTAGATGAGCATAGAAGATGGCAGTCTTCCCAAAATGGTATTGACTTTAAGCAGCTGGGGCAGGGAGGGTTTGTCCGGTAAGGACAGAACTCTGACACCAGTGCCCCTCCCCCCACCTTGGCTTCTGTCCGTACCCACCCTCTGTTCAAGTTAGGAATTTAATCATTTCTTTGTTGGCCATTTGTCAAAGTCCCCTGGTGGTATCCTTCCCAGATAAATTCTGTTCTCCTCTTGACATTCTTTGTCCATTTTTTGTTTGTTTTTATCTGCGTTGGCATTCTTTTTCAAGGGCAGTCAGATTACTTAAAAAAAAAAGCAAAAACAAAAACAAACTTCTTATTTCACCCACTAAATTATGTCATTAAAAAAAAATAAAAGAGCTCACTTCTATGAAATTCTTTCCCACTAGTATTCTCCTAGTTAACCATACCATGATCCTCAAAGAACGGGGAATAAATACACTTAAAATTCTGAGATATCTCTTTCCAGAAAACCTGTCATTCAACTTCAGGTTTATATACGTTTAAATGAGTTGACTTGCCTTTTGGCTTTGCAACATGCTGAGATTGTACAGGAAGTTAGGGAATCTTTCTTTGAGGTACTGTTGTCATTCAGAATATCTGTTCTTGTTGCCCAAAATGTAGACGTGGAAGGAATAAAAGTTTGAGTTGAATCTGACTTACTCTAGAACATTTCTGAATCATAAATTTCTTTTAATTCTCTAGCTTCTTGTTTTGTGGCGATGATCTTCTCCCTTCTTAATATCAAGGGTATGCAAATTCCAGTAGATCAGGAACTCTGGCAAGAGTGCTCTGCACTTTCTCATGTATCCATGCTTAGCCAGCTGAGGAAAAGGAGGAAGGGCAGAGTTGATTTTGTCTATTTTAAAGTGACCATTGGCTGAGACCCAAAGGTGACATGGAAGTTACGCAGGATCACACAAAGATGGATGCCAGGTCACCAAGCTGGGTCGTCTGCCTGAAAATATCTGCCTCACTACTAATCAGGAGGCTAAACTTCCAGCCTTAAGGACTATACCTTAATGCTTTCAAAACCTGCCTACAAGCTCCTCCTGAGCCAAAGTACATGTTCCACTGAAGGGGTAACTCCTTCGGTTGTTATCAACCACTGCCACCTCAGAGGGAATGTTAATAGTTAATCAAGGATAAGATCCTATGAACAGAATGCAGAAACATATAAAGTGGGAAAAAGCAGATGGGTAAAAGGGCAGTGGGACATCTGGGTCGGGGGCAGGTGGTAGAGGGTGCAGAGATGAACTTAAACTTCTCCCAAAGACCACATGGTATATGGCATTTCTCAGCATGTTCCCCCTCTTCTCTTCTTTTATACACCCAACACCCTGTGGAAAGCGCTGGGGCTTCTCCCAGGGCTTCTCCAAGATTATCAGCATTTGGCCCAACATGGTTCTCCATCTCTTGCCCTTTTTCCTAGGTAGCAGGTATCAAAGGGATATTCTTGGCAAACAAGAAGGTGGATGACCAGGTGAAGACGTATATCACTTACAACAAGGGCAGAGACTGGCGCCTACTTCAAGCCCCAGATGTGGACCTGCATGGAAGTCCAGTACACTGCTTGCTGGTCAGTCACCCCATCTCACATGAAGTCCGCAGGGCAAGCTGGTCACCTGCAGATGTCCCATCAGGGGCTTTCTTCCAGCAAGGGGTCTTAGGAACTTGGCTGGTGCCGGGCAGGCATTTCCCACAACCCTCAGGGCGATGATCTCCAGGCTCAGATTGCCATACCACTTGGATGGAAAGCTCAGTTGAAACTCACAGGCTTGTACTGAGAATACACTATGTGCTCCAACTCTTAGTAAGATAAAGACATGTTTAAGAGACAGTGCCTGCATTCCAGGGTCCCAGATAGGGCTCAGGAGTAGAAACACACCTGCTAACTGGTACTGATATGATTCAGTTTGATAAGTGCTTGATAGATGTCAAGGTAAGCAAAAGTTCCCTTGCCAGCCCAGGAGAGGTCAGGCTGGTGTGTCTACATGGGACACTGGTTACTCTGTCAGCATTCCCAGGGAGTGCCAGGTGTATGGAATATTGAGGTAGGCACTCTGGAGGACATGATGCATAAGAAGTTTTCTCTGCCCGCAGGTGTGTCAACTCCAGGTGGGGAGGGAAGGCAGATCATTAACAGTGAAATTCATGAACCCTCTGTGCTGTCTTAGAAAGGACCTATGTGAGAAACTCTTCCAAGGCCTGGGAAATGGTTATGTTTCTCTCTTAGCAAAAAGTTGCCTTTTGCCATTGTTAAAAAGGTTTATTACCAACTTTCCACATTGTAGACATTATGTTAAAAACTGAGGATATGGGGGCGGACAGGGCCTTTTTTTTTTGTAGATTTCAATCTAACCCCCTCTTTTCAGCTGGGGTTCCAGGCAGATCAGAGCCAAATGCACACCCACCTAGGAGCTGGTCATAGTGTGAATTTTCTTTTTTCCTGGGCCTTACCCATGGCTTTATCTTATTTTCCTAACCTAATTTTCTCCTTTCTCCAATTTCATCATTCTCTTGTTTTTATTTATTATATAGGATACCTATCTATAAATCCCTCATCCTTTTTAAGAACACCTAAAAAAGGATAAATGAGTAAATAAATTTCTATTAGTTTTAGACAGTGTCTTCAAACATTTGAGGTAAAATTCAAGTAATATTATAAACAGGAATCAAATAATGTGAAGGAGAAACAGAAACAATCTTGTTGAAGAAGGAGGTAGAGGGCCTGGAGACTGCTTTACTTAGCTTCCCCTCTGCATCCCTCCCAGTGGCCGCCTACAGCTCTAAAAAGCAGGATGTGATGGTCAAGGTCAGAAACAGGGGAAGGTCAGGATCATTCTGTGGGAAGGAATGGTCAGGGAGGCTTCCTAAGGCTGACCGTGGACTGGACCTTGACGGATGGGGCAGGTATGAGGAAGGGAGGGGAGGCCTACAGTTGTGATGGGGGCAGCTTCTGATGTGAGCATACTAGCTGCCTCAGGCAGAAATGTCTCCTGCCCAAATCTTAGTGTGAGACTGTTTCTGGAAGCCTCATCTCTGGTGGGGCAGGGGTGTGTGTCAGAAGTTTGCCAGAATGAAGCTGTTTTCTTCTCCATTTTAGCCCTTCTGCTCCTTACATCTGCACTTGCAGATCTCTGAAAATCCATATTCCTCAGGAAGAATTTCTAGCAAGGAGACAGCCCCGGGACTCGTGGTGGCTACAGGTAAGAAAGACATTCCCTGTGCTTCTTCCTCCCTGACGGCTTCTGGAATATTTATCACCTCTTTGGACTCATTTGAACATTTGGGTGAAAGTGATGGGCACTCCCCCCAGAAAATAGGCAGGGTCATGGAATCCCAGGGCCAGTCTCGTGACCCAGGAAAAGAGCTCCAGACACTTGTAACTTCCCACACAGTCACAGAGCTGTCCCCTGTGCTTAGCAAGAGGCCAGAGTTCCTCTCAAAGTAAACTGATCAGAAAGCTTGTTTGTCATAGGGAATTCTCACTTTAAGACATCTTTGATATATGAACTTGCCAGCTCACCAAATATAAGTTGGGGCAATTTTCTCTTTACACAGAGGATTCTTTGCAAAGGCTTTCACCCCAGAGCTGTTTTTAATCAGGAGGTCTCTGGTGCATGTAAAGGTTTGTTTACACATGATTAACCACTTGGCTGAGAGCTTGGGGGAAAGGGCAAAAAAACCCCTAAGGTTGCATTGTTGGAACCACCGTCCACTGATCATCAATCAGAAATGAAGATAAAGCAACTCTGCAATGAAAATGAAAATCTCTGGGGAATGTGCTCTGATTAGCATGCGTTTGATTTACATGTACCTTTCAGGAATACATTGATGGCATAAAGCAAGGCAGGCTTCTAATCTCTGAAGTTAGAGTTCTGGTGTTAGGCTTTTCTCTAATGAAAGCAGATAAAGTCACAGTGATTTCCAGAGATGGCACATTCTGTCTTTTTTCATCAACCCGAACCTCTGGCTCCTGGGTCACTGCTCTCCTAGACACGACTTCCTTCTCCATGCCCCCAGCTGCAGGAACTTTGAAACACCATCGGTGACTGACCACGTGGATCAGATTTGCAGCGAGAGTAGTTCTCAAGCATTCTAGGCCATTTCTCTCAACCCCGTAGGGATTGAATCCCTGTATGGAACACCACTGGCGTCAGGACAGGCTTCAGTCCAGGTTAGCAAGAGATGAGGGCAGGCTGTGTTGCTGTTCTGGCTTGGGGAGTGATCCCCACACTCCCTAATCCTTGTGGGTTGGACCTCCCAACTCAGGGACTGCAACATTCTCTGCCTCTCCTCCAGGCCTGCTGGCTTGGAATAGAAGCAACATGGAAAACAGTAATAAAAAAAAAAGAAAGAAAGAAAGAAAAGAAAACAGTAATCAATAATAAAAGTTAATATTATTTAATATGCCAACTATGTAGCCAGGCCTTGTCCTATGTGACTTAACCACTCTGAACTTCAGTATTTTCATTGGCAAAGTGGGGTTGACAGTATTGACATAACAGAATTGAAGGATTAAATGAAGAACTAGATTTAAGGTGCTCGGACAGTGCCTGGGACATATTGAATGCTCAATACGCATTAGCTCTTATCATCAGTAATATTACAGAAATTTAACCCTGGTCTTCATGTATCAGAAGACTGTGATTTATACATCTCCTTCAACAGAATCCATAAATCATATGCATACACTAGACCTACGCTGACTGAATGAATATACTCAGGAACCCTGGTGTCCTGCTTTCCAAGCTGAGCTCTGACACTAGCCCTGTGAATTTGGCTTAGTTCTTCAACCACTGGGCTTTGTTTTCCCCATTTATAAAACAGGTTTCTTTTTTTCCTACCTTGTGGGAGTTTGTAAAAATTAGAGATAGAAGAGTATGTCCACAAGATCCAGCAGAGTGCTCAGAGCATGGTGAGATGGGATTAGTTGTAGATCTTACCTGCGACCATTGTGTGCCCCTAAATTAGTCGCATGTTAAGCCTTTATAAATTAACAAACATGGACACATTAAAGATGTGTTTTTATTTTATTTTATTTATTTATTTGAGAGAGAGAGAGAGCAAGAGCAAGGAGGAGAGGCAGAGGCAGAGGGAGAAGCAGACTCCCTACTGAGCAGGGAGCCCGATGCGGGGCTCGATCCCAAGACTCTGGGATCATGACCTGAGCCGAAGGCAGTCACTTAACCAACTGAGCCACCCAGGCGCCCCAAAGATTTGTTTTTGAAAGGTTTTTGTCCATAGACACTTGACCCTTGAACAACGTGGGGCTTAAGGGTGCCGATCCCCACATAGTTGAAAATCCACATATAACATTTGAGTCCCCGAAACTTAACTACTAATAACCTACTGTTGACCAGAAGCCTTACCAATAATATAAATTGTCGATTAACACATATTTTATATGTTATATGTACTGTATACTGTATTCTTACAATCAAATAGGCTAGAGGAAAGAAAATATTACTAAGAAAATCATGAGGAAGAGAAAACACATTTACAGTGCTGTACTGTATTTACTGGAAAAAAAAATCACAAGTGGACCCACACAGTTCAAATTCATGTTGTTCAAGGATCAACTGAATATCAGAATTTACTAATGCCTTTTCCTCTCCCCCTTTGTAACACTTATAACTTTGTATGGCTCCTTGCCATACAAATGGCCCTGGGACGTTGGGAGGGATGTAACACAGCTGAAGAGATCCCGACAGAAAGCCAGCCCTGGGTCATGGGCACATGCCTCCTCATGCCCAGCTTCTCCTTACCATGCTTGTCTGCTATCCCTGGGAGGTTGTTCGCTGTCAGGAAAATAATTACAAAGTCAGCCAAGGATGACTTCGGTGGCTGGCATGGAGCCTGTCTCTCCAGGGCCCTTTTGCACATCCTGTCATTTCACCTGCCTCTGGGTGTCTGTGACCCTGGGCTCACTCCCGTCCGCTCCCGCTGCTCACCGCCTCTTCCCCTTCACTCTGAGGTGGGGTCTCGGGGGAGCTGCGTGGAGGCCAGGAGCCGTCTCTAACTCCAGTTGAAGCCGTCTCAGAAGGCAGATGGAATTCCAGTCTGGAGAGTCTGACAATTGCCTGTAGCCAGCAGGTACACCAGGGTTCTAAATATTCTTACCACTGTGCTTTCAAGCCTATACGTCAAGACCTCCAGTCTTCATGGTGCCTTACAGTGTGCAAAGCATTCTCTGTGCTTCAACTGCGTGGCAGCTCTATCATGTGGAAAAGGTGATGAGTCTTCTCCTCAGTTTACAGATGAGGTGATGGAGGAGGAAGAGGAAGAGGTCTCAGGCCCACACCGACACTCACTCTGGCTTTAGTTCTCTTCTGTCCAGCCAGAACTAGTCCTGAGCCCCTTCATGTGCTGGCTGCACGCTACCCCCTGGCTCCGTACCAGGCTTCCTAGAAACTGAAGCTCCATGGAGGCACGTCCCTCCCTGCAGTGCATTGTGCACTGTCTGCTTCCTTTTTCACCGAACCCTTAATCCTCTGAACGGGCATCTGGGCTTGTGAAAGAAGCATCTCTTACTCCAGAGGACTCCAGAATTCTCTCCATCTCTTTATGTTTTTTTTTTTTCTTTTTTTTTGCACAAGTGTTTAACTAAGAAGCAAAGAAAGGTAGCCCCAAGAGGAAATGGGAGTTTTTACAAGTTGTTTAAAGCTGCCAAAAAGGGCAGTGGAACCTCTAGGATTTACCAGCTAAGCCATTGGTGAGAGAAACTCTGTGTTCCTCCCTGTGTCTCTCCTTCCTCTCTCCCATTGCACCACTTCAGTGGGCAACATCAGTGGGGAATAGCTACATCTTCCAACCTGACCAGAGACCACTTCGGGGAGCCTTCTGGTTTCACTTTGCCAGTGAGGCATTTTCTTCAAGTCTTCCTTCTCTGACACCAGAACCCAAATTCTTCCTATCAGAGATTCCCCATGGGGCCACTTAGGAACTGCCCATATTCTAAGATCCAACTGTCCCGGATACAGCTTTTCTGTCCCTTCCTCTGGGAACAAACTTTCTGGTTCCTGTGGTCAGCAGCATTTCTTTCAGGTCTCCTTTCAGTTGACCGAAGATATTTCCAAAAACAGACTTCGCTTATGAGCCTTGGATTCTCATCACCACAACACCTCCAAAATCAGTCTGGTGGAACTTTGAAAGAGGGGTTTAGATAGTTGACAGAACCAGCTCCTACAGAGGGTACGAAATGATGAGAGAGATCCTAAGAAGCCATGACAGGGACAGCAGATTCCAGGTCAAGGGTGACTCTGCTCCTGCCTCTGTCTCTCGCTCTCGACCACCTTGGTAGACATGACTGATTGATCACCATGCTCTGTTCTTTTGAAACCAAATCTGGCTTCAGAATCCTTCTTAGCAGCAACCATCACCAAATGATTGGAGTTGACATTCTCTGTCCCATCCCTCTTTTCTTTCTTCATCTGTGTCTTCCACAAACCCTATCTGGAGAGTTGAATTCCAGATTCCAGGCAGATCTCCACAGAGCTGCTCACTGTGCCTCTCCCTGCCCCTCTTGCACCTACTGCCTGAGCTGTGAGCCCCAGGTTATTTTTGGAAGCCTGAGTGTCAAAACAAGTTGGCTAGCTATGTACTCCCTGGTGCTGATGGGAGCTTGACAAGCTGTAGCCTGGCTTTAATTTCTCATTTTGAAGCATTAAATGTCAGGAGCTCAATTAACATTTTCATTATTGCATTTTTATTGTGCTCTTATTTAGGCTACAGATGTGTGGGAGCTAACATTCCCTTCCTGCTATTTTTAAAGAAAAAGATATCAGCCAAAATGATAAATTCTTACATCTTTAGGGTACTTTCCTGATTCTTGATACCTCCCCAAAAGCACATCAACATTGGAACATGGTTTAATCATTTGTTGACTCATTCATCCATTCCACAATTATTTATTGAGCAATTAACTACTGCATTTGGGGCACTGTTCTGGGCTCTGAGGTGGGGGGGGCCCATTGAGGATCCTTGGGCAACATAGGTAGACTAGAAAATCTTGATCACTGCCTTTTTTAATGAACATAACCGCAAGGGGAAGAAAAAGAATGGGAAAGAAAGAATGAAGGGGTGTTGGGATGGAGGCAGTTAAGAGTGGTACAAACCAGATGCCTTCTTTTCCTGCCCTACTTGATGGCCATGATCTGCTGAGTATGATCATTTTATTCTGGGCACCCTGTAAACTTGGTTACATAGGCTGTAATATTGGGTCATTCAACTGCTTGGCATACAAGGGACAAGTGGACACGTTTAAGTTGGAGGCACACTCACATGTATACACATGGACACACACATACCGGTTTTCCTTAGGCTACAATTATACATGAGGAGGAAGTTGTCCTTAGGCCCAGCTTCTGCACGGATGTCTACTGTTCCACTCTTTGCCACCTTCAGGAGCACCTATCATGCTTAATTTTAAGAGACTGTTGGTAACAGCATGAATAGTTCAAGAGATCCAAGCTCATTAATATCGAGTCTTTGATTCTTACCATTTAAAGATGCATTCCTGTCATATTATTTACTTTGGTTCCCGTATTGTTTTTTTCTTCTTGCTGGGTTTTTGATATGATACCAAGAAAGCACTACACACATCAACTTTATTTTTATTTATTTTTAAAGGAATTTTTAAAAATTAATTAATCATTGTTTTTAGTAATCTCTGCACCCAATGGGGGGCTCAAACTCATGACCCCGAGATCAAGAGTCACATGCTCTTCTGACTGAGCCAACCAGGCACTCCACATCAACTTTAAACATAACTTGGAAAACTTTACTCTCTGCCGCCTTCCCCCAAGTCCCAAATCTGCAAACAATTATAAACGATCTGCTTATGTTTCAGGCAACATTGGCCCGGAGCTCTCATATACTGATATTGGTGTGTTCATCTCTTCTGATGGGGGCAACACATGGAGACAGGTAACTGGGAGAATCGGGGACAGGGAAGAGGCATTTAGGGCAATTTCTACCCTCTCTTTTTCCTATAGATTCTCAGGCTCAGTATGAGTGTGGTTGCAAAAAAAATGTGGAAGCAACTGTTCAGTTTGGTCCATTTTGGCTGACAGATGAGCAGCAGGGTAAAATGGAAGCATTGGGTGAGAAATAGGAAGAACCAGAATTTTCCCATTTTTTCCATTCTTTCATTCAGCAGTAAGTATGGGACAGCCACTGGATGCTAAGTACTGTGCTGGTTTCTGGGGATACAACTGATGAAATTGTTCCTATCATTAAAGTGCCATGGGATCTGGGCAGATAGGTCTCTTTACCTTGCTGGATCTGTTTCTTTATCTACAAGATGAGCAGGTTAGAATACTAAAAACACAAAGCTGTGGAAGTCTCTGGTGGGTTAAGTATTATGTAGGCCCAGCCCTAAGTAAGAAGAAGCAGCTTAATAGATACATCACTACATGAAAAATTAATTCAATTTTACAAACATTTGTAGCACACTGTCCGATAGAACTTTCTGCAAAGATGGAAATGTTCTCTGTGCCATCCCATGTGTCTATTGAACACTTGAAATGTGGCTAGTGTGACAGAGGAACTGAATTTTTTATTTTGTTTTAATCAATTTAAATTTAAATCATCTGATGTGGCCACTGTATTGAACAACACAGATTAATACAGTGTCAGCTAGGTGGGAAGTACAAACCTGAGGAGGCAGTTGAATATTTTGGAGTCCTTTTCCTCAAGGAGTTCAAAATTAAGTACAGAAAACAGCTTCATAAATAACTAACTGTAGTTTAGAGTGATTTTTTTTTTTTTTAAGAGAGAGAGAAAGCGCCCATGAGCAGTGGGGAAGGGCAGAAGGGAGAGGGAGAGAATCTTAAGAATTGTAAGAGAATCTTACATGGGGCTTGATCTCACGACCCTGAGATTGTGACCTGAGATGGAGTCAAGAGTCAGACGTCTAACTGAGCCACCCAGGTGCCCCTGATTGTATTTTAGTAGCATTTTTAGCCTGCAGAGCAAAGGGAGGAATTGCTTCTACTGGGAGAAACTGGGAAAGATTTCACAAGAAGAGTTGACATTTTACTAAGTCTTAAAGGTGACAGGTTTTCACCTGAGGAAGATGAAGGAGGAACACTGAACATCTTGATGTAGGTGCAGCCACCATCTGCAATCTAGCTGGACAAGTTCCAACTTGGATCCCTATATGAAGCTGTCATCACCATCACCAGCATCACCATCACCACCCCCATTGCCACCACTGTCACCACTACCACCATCAAAAGAAAAATTTACCAAGAACCCACCAGATGCACCCAGCTATTTTAATTAAGTACTATAAGGCATACAACAAAGAATAAGTTAAAGTTCCTACCCACAAGGCCATAATTAGGTAGATGAGAAGCAGACACATAATTCAGAACATATCTTCAGAATAAAAGATAATCTCATTTAAGTGTCAAATGAGGATGGAAACTAGAACTTCAACTCTTCTGGTACAGAAACTCCTAGCAACAAACCATTGTCCCTCCAACTCAAGAAATAGCTCACCTGGCCGGGTGACCACTGCAACATTCCTTCCTTGTGTTGTTACTACTTTGGTTTTCTTTTTCTTTTTCCAAATAGCTAAGGATTCCAGTTTCCACTCCAGTGTTGGACAGGGCAATTGTTAGCGGTGGCCAGAGTGATAGAGAAGAAAGTGACAAGATAATGGTGGCTCTCTCTCCCCCATGCCAAGTATCTTGTACCCCTCATCCTCAGACTTCAATCCAGCCCCTCCATTACGTGGCTTGGCACAGAGCCTACCTTTGAGCTCTGGAGGGAAAACACTGGCACTATAGGCCCAGAGTCCATTTCTATCTGTTATAGAAATGAATCACCCTGAGGTCCTTTTTGCATTGAGACTGCCATTAGTGTGGATATTTTTATTTCCTTAAAAGGCAAATGTGAGAAAGGAAACCAGTTGAGAGGGCCTGAGAATCCATTTACTTTTTCTCTATGGTGTTCCCTGGGGCATATGTACAGGAGACCCCATTCCTCCTGTTCCCTCCCTTTTGAATATGTTTATACCTCCTTACCTTTTCTACTATGGTTCACTTAATCCACCATCCCAACCTCTCCATCTAGGCTATAAGAACCACCAGTAGTGGTTAAGAGCTACAGGAATCGTCCAATTCCACTTTCTTCCAGAAGATCTAAAGTAGGAGGTTGGTTTTCAGCTGCAGAAATGTTTTTTCCTGTTTCAGGTTGGAGATACGATAGTTATATACAATAGAAGCAATGATACATGTGGGATTACCTCTGAAGTTCTCATAGCTCAGAGCCTGGCATCATAATAGGTGCTTAGGAAATGCGTATGGGTAGATGGATGAATGGATCACTGAATGCATGAATGAATGAGTGGACAGATGAATAGGTAATGGACAAAGGGATGAATCAAAGAATGAATAACTCTGGATCCCTGGAAGCACTATGTTCCAATGCACATTCAGAGTAAAGATCTGCAAGGGCCCAACTTAGGCCTTCATCCAGCTTGCATGGAAACCTAGGAAGTGGTGGCTCAGTCTAAGAACTCAGTCATCATGTATACCATAATGTCTAGAGAAATTGTCTTTATATTCCTAGACAGTTTATGAACAGCACTGTAAGGTACAGACCATTTATAAATTAGCAAAAATCTGCATAGATGAGAAAGAAGAGAGAGCTGAGTAGTAACTTACTCAGATGCCAAGATGGGGAAGCATTTTTGAAGTCATATTTTTCCTTTGGGTTATCTAGCTGAGCATCTTGTTGTCTCAACCTCTTGTAGCACACTGGTTCACAGTACTAGCGGAGGGAGCCCTGGAAATACCATTTGACTGGCTTTGGGAGAATTATTTGTTCTCTCCAAAGCCCATGTCCTCATCTATTAAGTGGGGATAATAGTATTTGCTAAACTACCTGATAGGGTTGTCAGAAGGCTCAGAACCTAGGTGAAACAATATTTGTGAAAGACTTTGTAAACTGTAAACACTATGCAAATGTAAGGTGTTGCTAAGATTGTTGTTGTTGTTGTTGTTGTTGTTGTTGTTCCAGATCTTTGATGAAGAGTACAATGTCTGGTTCCTAGACTGGGGTGGCGCCCTCGTGGCCATGAAACACACACCTCTACCAGTCAGACATTTGTGGTAAGGACAGCTCCCTACCCTATTAATAAGCAATTTTTTTTTTTTTTTAGTGGAAAGTGTTGGGACAAGTTTTTCTGCATGACTTTATACCCATTTACCCATTTCCTCTTCCATTTATTCATCTATCCATCCATTTATTACACATCCCATCATCTAACCCTTAGGTAGCAGTGGTAGGCCAGAAATTTAGATGGGGAAGTATGATGATTAGAACAGGGTGGTAGGAATGGGGGCTCAGATAAGCAGAAAAGACCAGGAAAGACCTGTGAGTTCAAGCAGCCAAGATTAAGAATCCAAAATACAGGAAATGGAAATTGCCACAAGAAGAATGTTAGGTTCATGTAGTAGATACGAAATTCAGTTCTAGATAATTTGAGTTTAAATGTCTGTGAATATTTAAGCAGAGATGATGATTTTTCAGATATATTCATCTGACGGTCAGAGGTCTGGGCTGACACTCTAGATTTGGACACATTAGCCGTTAGATGGTAGGTGAAGCCATGGCAGTGGGCCCAATGCTTCAGAAGAGTGGTTACAACAAGGAGAAACCAGGGATTCCTGCAGAACACTGTTAAATACCAACACACAGAGCAGAAAATAAATTATGGAACAGACCAAGAAGTAGACAAAACAATAAAAACACAGGAGAAATTTTTTTTTTTTTTTTAAGATTTTATGCATCAGAAAGGATGAATACCCAACTTTTACATCAACATGGATGGGACTGGAGGAGATTATGCTAAGTGAAATAAGTCAAGCAGCAAAAGTCAATTATCATAGGGTTTCACTTATTTGTGGAACATAAGGAATGGCATGGAGGACATTAGGAGAAGGAAGGGAAAAATGAAGGGGAAATCGGAGGGGGAGATGAGCCATGAGAGACTATGGACTCTGAGAAACAAACAGGGTTTTAGAGGGGGGGGAGTGGGGGGATGGGTTAGCCTGGTGTTGGGTATTAAGGAGGGCACCTACTGCATGGAGCACTGGGTGTTATACGAAAACAGTGGATCACCATATCAAAAACTAATGATGTTTTGTATGGTGACTAACATAACATAATAAAAAAGATTTTATTTATTGGACAGAGATAGACACAGCGAGAGAGGGAACACAAGCAGGGGGAGTGGGAGAGGGAGAAGCAACCTTCCTGCTGAGCAGGGAGCCCGATGCGGGGCTTGATCCCAGGACCTCGAGATCATGACCTGAGCCAAAGGCAGCCATTTAACGACTGAGCCACCCAGGCGCCCCAGGAGAAATGTTTTCATGGATGCTGAAGAAAGGGGTGATCAATAGCACCAAATTCTATAATCAGACCAAATTAGTTATGGAATGAAAAACAATCTAAGATTAAACAATATAGAGGAGTAAAGGAGGTCATTGGTGATCTGTATCAGAGCAGATTCAAAACAGAAGTGGGATTGAAAGGTAGATTACAGTAGATTTATGAATGAAATGAATGATGAATGAATGAATGAATGATAAGCAATGGAGTGAAGTGGAGACAGTGTAGATAACTCTCAATAAAGTCAATTATGGAATGAGGTTGAGTGTGTATATGCATGACCCTCCAGTGAGGACAAAGATCTGTGAGAATATATTTTGATGATGATGATGAGAAAGATCTGTGAGAATATATTTTGATGATGATGATGATGATGATGATTCTGTTGTTTGTTTTGGCTTTTGGCAGGGGATGAATAAGTATCATGTGTGTTTATATGCTGAAGGGGAAGAATTTCAGGCTTCAGATGCAGCAGAGTGAATATTTGAGAGTGAAAATTTGGCAGTAAAGGGTATGCTATCTAGAGTACAGTTGTTGGGATGAGCCATGAGCTGGAGGATGGACTCTGGCTTAACTCCCAGATCCTTGATTTTGGGAGACTAACCCTTTTAAAGTCAGAGTTTTACTGGGAAGCATCAGATTGTAACCAGAAAAGATACAGGACTTCCAGGTGCCAAATTCAAGCTTAAGTCACCCTGGCAAGGACTTAAGAAGGTTTCTCTCAGTTATTAAGTTAAACCATATCATTTTGCCATTTTTGTTGGTCAAAACTGGTCAAATATCATCAATTTCTTAGAGCTTGAGGTAACATAAAGTCCAGTGGTTTTATCTACCACTCTGTCTTCATACAGAGAGATTATGAGATTAAATTTTGAAAAGATGCATGGAGCCATTTGTAAGGAAAAGTACTCTACCAACTCAAGAATGAGCTTGTACAAGTTCCCATTGTAATTCTTTATCATCCCTTTACTACTGATTATATGCTTTTTGGATAAATTAGAAGCGTGGAATTACTTAATACTAATGATAGTCAGGAGTTTTTGAGGAATTATATTCCAGGCACCATTCTAAATCCTTTACACGAATTATCTAAGTTAGTTCTTTATTCATACAACCCTCTGAATGTGGGTATTCTTTATCACATGTTTATAATGGCATTGAAATGCAGACATATTATGTTCTTTGCTCAAGTCTACACAGCTAGTACCTGGCAGCACTAAATTAGGCCTCTGTTATGGCTGCTCTTCTCTTTTAACTGAATTTTCCAGATACTTTAATGAGTACACAGAGGCTTATCACGTGGCCCCAGCTCTCTGGGAGATCATAGGCAAGATAAGGAGCTTAGTCCACATATCACCAGAAATCCAAGCAATGCCTGCTTAAGCATGCTGGCCATGTGTATTGCTGCGATCTTAGCACAGGATGGAGTCCTGCCTAGTGTGTAAGGGGGTCTTCATGTAGCTGCTAACATGAGAGTTAATTCTTGAAAAAATGATGCCCTGTGTCAGAGGACTGATGAAAGGCAAGCCAAGGGAAGAGAAACTGTTACCAAAGCCTGGGATTCAGGAAAAGTAGGGAGTGTTCAGAAAATATATTTGATTAGAATAAAAACTGGGAGAAAGTAGAGTGGGTAGGACTCAGAAGAACTTAAATGCCAGGTTGACCCTGTAGATAATTCCTTCTACTGCAAAGACCTGCCTTCTTGTGGAGGGAAGAACTTGTCTACTGAGGACTGAAGAGCACTTGTACTCTCAGAGAGGATTACTTAACTCTTAAAACAAGTTCAGTTGCTTATTTGTTTTTTAACCAAGAAAGGCAACCTTTTTTTAGCCCCATCATGATGTTCTAAGAACTTCCATTGAGGTCTCAATCAGAAAATCGGTAAATGCCTTGCAGACAGATATAGCTGAGCAGATTTCTTCCACTTAAGTCTTGAGAGAAGGGGTGGCAACCCCATCTCACACTTGACCATCACCCTCCTGCTCTTTCTCCTTCATTATGGTAGGAACTTAGTACTTACTTAGTGGTTGATTTCTAGAGCCTTTTGCACAAAAGTTTCCTTGTTCTAAAGAAAAGAGGAATTTGGTGGTGTTATTTCCTTTTGGGGATAGGAGAAGTGAGTATATCTGGTGTGGAACGGAGGGACTAGAGAGTTTTGGTTTTGGTTCATCTTCCATCCTTACATCTGACCATTCAGTGTGTTCTGCAGTGGTTTCTCACCCAAGACCTGATCACTTCCCAAAGGAGCATTTGTCTGGGAATTTCTGGAGGGAAACCATCCAAGCTGGAAAAATTGTTTAATATTCTCTCAGGGATATGTAAGTAGGATAAAATCGTGCCTCTCAAAGTTACCAGTACAAAGTTTGCATTTTCCCTTGCTCCATGAAATATCTCTTTTGTTGGTAGAAAATGTTTGCAAAACTCAGAAAGAAAATAGCTGCATTCCCATTCAACTTCCTCTTATAATAATGATAATACCACCCTCCCTGTGTTTGCCTACTCCAACTTACAAAGTATTAAACATGATTTTTCACACTAAGCTTTTGAGATAGAATTTTCTCCATTTAAAGGATGTCGACACAACCATCTGTCATAAATGCTACACATGTTTCCTTGAACTTGAACACTACCCATGATTTCTGCTTACTTGCCTACCTGTGAATGCCATTCTCTGTAAATCTCTGCACTGGTTAAATGGCAGCCCTTGAGGATGTGTGTTAGAACACAACAAGAAATAACCCATTCAAGAATTCTCCTTTGCACTTCTCTTTCAAAGGCTAAGTGAGTGTTTTGGAAGGACTTGACTATACCATTATCACCAGTGTTTCTTTATGAGATTCTTGACTGATTTTTGTCTCATGCTTATGAATTGCAAGCTTGTGAAACTTAAGCAGTTTCTTCATCACCAGTGGCTTCTAATTAAGTCACAACCTTCAAGGTAAACAAATAGCTCATTTTAAATGAAAGAAAAGTTATCCGCTCATTGCTATTTTCTGTGTAGGCCTCAAACTGATGTTATTTTGTACACAGATGTATATATATTTGCATAGGAAAAAAACCCAACACCAGCCGACCCACTCTTACACAAGGGTAGGGTGGTTCTCAAATTTAAATAATAGCTATATTGCCTTTCAGAGAAAAGAGGAGTCATAATTGAAAAGCTGAGGAAATGTTAGCTAGACTAATAAGGCATGCTGTTTCCCATAAATTGAAATGATAGGTAGCTAGATATGCATGAAGACAAAACAGCATACAAATGAACCCATCTGTTTGTGACGGTGTACATTTGGATGCATCGAGATTAGAACCTAAGTGCTGTTTCAGGTAAGCCCTCCATCCAGTATTTTCTTCAGACCATGGATGCATTAGGGTGAAATGAATAATGGGGCCCTATGGAAGGCAGTGCTCTAATAAAAACTCGCAATAGACAGAGCTACTAATTGGCAGGTAGATGGGGGTCCTACTGTTTGCTTAGCCCTGACAAGCTGTCAGCGTCTCCTTCCAATAGGATGTTCTTGGAAACAGAAAACGAAACATCACCTGGCCCTTTGTGTTCCTTTGTTTTTCTGTAAATGGTTGTGAGCACTGGTGTCTTGTCCAGAGGCACATTGCCATGCAAACAATAGTCCTAACCAATAGGCTCTTCTGAAAAGCGAAAGTGCACATGTTATTGTGAAGAACTTCCCGGTCACTAAACTGCCACCTCCTCATGTGTTTG